CAAAGGAAGACATACAAATGGCCAACAGATACATGAAAAAATGCTCAACATTACTAGTCATTAGGGAAATGCCAATTAAAACCACATTGAGATACTACTGCACTCCAGTTAGACTGGCCTATGATCAAAAAGACGGTGAGTAACAAATGCTGGCGAGGGTGTGGAGAGAAGGGAACACTCCTACACTGTTGGTGGGACTGTAAATTAGTACAACCACTTTGGAAAACAATTTGGAGGTTTCTCAAACAACTACAGATAGATCTTCCATATGATCCAACAATCCCTCTTCTGGGTATATATCCAGAGGAATGGAAATCATCATGTCAAAGAGATACCTGCACTCCCATGTTTATTGCAGCTCTGTTTACAATAGCCAAGATATGGAAACAACGTAAATGTTCATCGATGGATAATTGGATAAGGAAACTGTGGTATATATACACTATGGAATACTACTGCCATAAAAAAGAATTAAATTCTCCCATTTGTAACAACATGGATGAACCTGGAGAAACTTACATTGAGTGAAACAAGCAAAGCACAGAGAGATAAATACCACATGTGCTCACTCATATGTGGGAGCTGAGAAAGGAAGGAAGGAAAGACCACAGTAGTCCCATGATCCAACAGAGGGAGGGAACATTCCTAGGGCTCCAAATTGGAGTGGAGGGGAGAGGGGGGCAGGGAGGGAGGTTGGGGGATAATTGGAATGGGACAAAGGGTACAAAAATAATTTCTGGTAATGGGTATGCTCCAGTATGAATCTGGCCCTCACATCATCGGCAGAAGAGGGGACAATCAACTTTGTATCTCGTGAATATTTGTAATAAATAAATAAACAAACAAACAAACAAATAAATAAATAAAATAAAAAAGGATTACTGGCTGTCCTTTTAGTGCAGTTCTGGTTATTGTCCAGCAGGTCCTCTGGGGATGATCTGGTTATACAGGGTTGTGCACCCTTAATTGACTTTCTACTGACAAGGTGATTTTACAACTCTGAAGAGGTGGAAGTTAACTGTTCACAATACAAATGATTCTTGTCTGAGAACAATGCAAATAATTCTTGTTTACAAAGTAAACAATTTACAATTTACAAGTAAATTTGTAAATTTACTATTTACAAAGTAAATTGATTTTGTCTGATACAGGTATAATTGATTTTTGTCCAGTTAAAAAGAAAAGAGTATATTGCTGTAGGATATCAATTAGCAAATTTGTTTGAGAGTTCTATGGACTGATTATTTAATTCCCTGTTTCTCAAATTCTCCACTGAACTAGTGTTAAATCTTCACGCTTTTCTCATTAATGAGTTGAATAACATCTTTAACATGTTGACATATGTTCATTTAAAATTTTTATTTGTTTTAAATTTGTGAAAATTATAATTTAGCAGTAATATATTTATAGAAGTGGTGAAAGGGCTCATAATATTAGAAAAAGACTTGAAAATATAGAAAGGAAATATTTTACCCTGAGTTAACTAGGATGTTAAATCCTCCAGAATACTGCAATTTCCATCAACCTTTCAGGATTTTTTCTCTAACACTTAATGAGTGCCTGCTGTGTACCAGGTACTTTCCTAAGTTTTTTACATGCACTATTTCATTTAATTCTTGTGAAATTCTGTTAGATAAATATCAGAAGTACTATTTTATAGAAGAGGACACTTGTGAGTGGTTCTGCAGTTGGATCAGTCACAGAGAAGGGAGTGACTCTGGCATGATCTGACCCTGGAGTCCGTGCTCATAACCACTATGCTTTACTCTTGAACAGGCTCGATCTCCACGCCCCTTTCCCCTACCCCACCTTGTCTATGGTTCTCCAACTCAGGAAATAACCCTCAGTACATCACTCAGTAGCTCAAACTCAGGCATGACTTTTGGTTCCCTCCTGATGCTCACTCCATCTCTTGATTCTTCTCTCCTCAATGTCACCCGAGGAGCCTCTCTGCCCACCCAGTCCCCTCCTCATTGCAGATCCCATCAGCACTGGCTGTCATGAGCACAACAGCCTCCTCACCTCTTTCCCTGCTCCCAGCCTCTCCTCTTAGTGGTCACTCTACAGTCAGAGAAAACTTTCTGCAACACAAAGCCGATCATGTCACTCCCACTTGCTTTGATGTAGTGACGAGGCCCTGTGATCTCACTCCCACCCACCTCTGCAGCCTCATGTCGCACTACCCTCACCTTGAGCACTAGAATTCCGGCTACGAAGGCCTTTCTTGGTCCCTGGGAAATGCCAGCCTTTCTGTGAGGCAGTGCTTTTGCTCAAGCCATGCCTCTGCTTGGAACGCATGTTTAGAAGCAACCTTGTTCAAATGCCACTTTCTCAGTCAATAAACTCTAGAATGATCTTCCAGCTGGAAGTAATCTCTTCCTCTCTGGACACACATAGCATTTACTGCTTCTTCTCTTAAGACTTTACCACTTTCTTCCTTCAATTACAGTTTCTTTGTTCACATGGCACACCTCGAGAGAGGTAACACAGAGGGGTGGAATGAGCACGGGCTTTGGAATTATACAAATTTGGGCTCAAAACTCTCTTTTTATCGGTTGGACTCACCAGAATTGCTTAATGAAGATAAAATTACCTACCTTGTAGGATATTGTGAAGAGAAAGTAAAAACAGATCTAGCACAGCACCTGGCACACAGGAGCTCAGTGGATATTCATTGAATAGATGAATGAGTGAATGTCGAAGACTTTGTGACATCATTTTTTTGTGGACAAGAATAATAATTTACTGGAAGATGCCAGAAACCCTTTATTTTACAACTGTATTTTGTATTAGATAGATAGGTAAAGAGATAAGTGATGTATAGATGGATAGATAGATAAAAGTCCATCAGAGAGATGGATAATAAATAGGTAGAGATAATTAGACAGACAGATAGAGATAGCTATGTAGATATATATATATATATATATATATATATATATATATATATATATACTTCTCTTAAGACTTTACCACTTTCTTCCTTCAATTACAGTTTCTTTGTTCACATGGCACACCTCGAGAGAGGTAACACAGAGGGGTGGAATGAGCACGGGCTTTGGAATTATACAAATTTGGGCTCAAAACTCTCTTTTTATCGGTTGGACTCACCAGAATTGCTTAATGAAGATAAAATTACCTACCTTGTAGGATATTGTGAAGAGAAAGTAAAAACAGATCTAGCACAGCACCTGGCACACAGGAGCTCAGTGGATATTCATTGAATAGATGAATGAGTGAATGTCGAAGACTTTGTGACATCATTTTTTTGTGGACAAGAATAATAATTTACTGGAAGATGCCAGAAACCCTTTATTTTACAACTGTATTTTGTATTAGATAGATAGGTGAAGAGATAAGTGATATATAGATGGATAGATAGATAAAAGTCCATCAGAGAGATGGATAATAAATAGGTAGAGATAACTGGACAGACAGATAGAGATAGCTATGTAGATATATATATATATATAAATGTGGATACAGATACGGATTTAGATATAGACATAAATATAGATATAGTTATACTGTTTTGTGACACTTGATCTTACAACTGTCCCCATCTGCAGCACCAGTGTGTTTCTTTAGAATTCCTGGGGGGAAAGGGATACAATTTCCTTTGGTAGCATAGTTAGTCTCTGTGTGTCTGCAGGGCCCATTCACCATTCACTGCAGGCTGTAAGTGGGGCTGAGGCAGATCTGAGGTGATGCGGAAAAGGAGACTGTGCAGGCTCCTGCAATTTAATAATGCCCCATTGACATACGACTGGATGGTCTGGGAACATTCCAGAAACTAGTATACAAAGGCATCCAGGAGTGGGAGGGGCCTGAGGACCCAGCCAACTTTGAAGTACTCTTTTATCAATTATTTTCTTATGGAAACTGGCTTAACAGAAAAGAAGAGTGAAGACATCCAAAAGCTGAAAAAATGCAGCAAAAATCACAGAAACAAGTTCTGAGTCTCTGTCAGGATTTTTGAAAACCCAGCTACAGACCAGGGAAACGGTTTTTCTCTAGATCTACAAGAATTAGTGTACAGGGATGGGGAGGCAGGGTGTCCTTTAACAGAACAACAGTAAATAGCACCCAGTAAACGGGGGATGAATTTTGGAGCCGTCTTTTATTCCTTCCTCTCTCTCTGCTAGCCATCACGCTCGTTATAAGAGCAGCTTGTACTTGCAAAGCGCCCAGCATGCTGTTCAATAGACATTCTCTCAATAAAAGTTTATAAGTTATAAAGAGATCTATCATTCCAAATCACTTTGACACACACTATCTTACTTAATACAAAACCTGGTGGGAAAAAAATGAAAAATACTCAGACATTTTTAGTGCTCACAATAATTATGATTATTCTTGCTTTATTGTTGAGGAAACTGAATCCTGGAAGCTGAGTGCCAGAGGTCACCTCCCCAGTGAATGGTTAAGCTTGGATTTGAATCCTAGCAATTCAACTCTAAATGTATCTAACAAACTTCTGTTTCTTAAGTACTACACATTCTCATACAAAATGAACGCAAGCAAAAATAGTGACCAGGCGCTGGTACTCACTTGAAACTTGCTGGGGTCTTGCAACCAGGGCTGGTTCTTTTCCAGGGGTGAATGGCCACTCCGCAGGAAGATTACCTGCAAGGGGCAAGAATGGCCTTCCAAAAGTCAAAATGAAATGGCTCTAGGTTATACACACAGCAAGAGAATCAGAGCATCTTAATGATAAAGAGTTCTGGAAACCTGTAGGAAAATGGTAGCCAATGAAGGGAAAGTAATTTATCCGAGATCACACAGCAATTTAGCAGAACCACAAGGTTTGGTGCTGCCATAAATAACCTCAAAAGAACAGTAGCTGGCTTAGTCTGCATTCTGGCACCCTGTCTCAACGTGCCCTACTCCCAAGCTATGTTCCCCCATGGTACTGGGTTTCTTCGTCCAGTGGCGCGTTCTCACCTGTGTGTGGATCTTTGGGAGCCGGTGCCTTGGTTGGACTAGAAGTCTGTGTGCTGGGGGTGAATGTTCCTGGGATGAGATGAGAAAGAGAGGTTAGCCTGCATCTCTTCTAGGGGGCCTGACTGGGAAAAGGGCCCCCGTGCTACCAATCCTGCCCTATCCCACCAACGTTGGTTAAGCCAGGTACTAGGCAGGGCACTGAGGATGCAGAAATGAGTAAGAAATTAAGCCCACAATGGGGGTGCTCCCAGTGTAGCAGGGGAGAGGAGCAGGTCCAATCAGCGAGTGTGATACAGAGTGATGGGGGCCATTGGGAACCAGCTAGTATTGGTGAAATATGGTGGCATTACATGGGAGAGCGATGGCATTGAACAGAAAGTGTCCAAGTGTGCGAGCTCCTGGAAAAGGAGAAAGTGACCCCATTCCCACCCCCAGAAAATTTCCTATCATTTTCATGACAGGGCATGGGTTCTCATTCTTTATACCATGTTCATAACACCTTGGTTTCAGGACCACTTCAGGGCTCGATCTTTGCTGTCAAAATTCTGGCCTCTGGCAAAACCAGCAAAGCAGCCTCCTTCCAAGGGATGAGAGAGAGAGAGAGGAAATTAAACAGGCAATTGCACTCATGTGGACTGAAAGGAAGAGACTGAGTTACACCTCAAGCACAGACAATTCAGCTGGGGCAGGTGACATCTACCCTAAGACAAGTAGAACAAAGTTTAGCAAGGAGAATTAGCCTTCCATGCAGAGCACAGAGCACATGCAGAGGCCAGTAGAAGAGATCAGTAAGTAGATGTCTGTGGCTGGAGACTAGAGGATAAGGATGGAGGGGTGAGGTGAGATGAGCAGCAGGTGGGGCCACAGAGCCTGGGCATGACTCGTGCAGGTGTAATGCCCTGCAGGTATAATGTCATGCAGGTGTAATGCCGCTCGTTACTTATTCTGTTCCTCTGCCAGGGCTGAGTATTGCAGGGTTGAATTCTGTGCGGCTTCCACTCCCAGGGGCCACTGTGTTGGTACCGGACATGAGCAGTGTGACACATGTACACACAAATGACTATGGGCAGGAAGTAATCTTGTCATCTTCTTAGGGTGGGTCAGCATCTTCTTTTGATTTCACTTCAGGCATGGGACTGTAAGCCCCCAGCACAGAAGGGGTCAGTTCATGCTTGCTGCCTGGATGCATTTCTATGTAGTTCTAGAAATTGAGCAGCCTCAGCTGCACCCAAATACCCAGTTTTCTTGTCTGCGACTGCCATTTACAATTTGACTAAATGGCTACAGACTCAGAGAGTATTAGAGCTGAAAGGGACCTCGGTCAAAAGCAGATGCATGCTCTCCTCTGAAGGATGTCCTGTTTGCCACTACCCTTTCCAAAGTGTGTCTCCTGAAGCTGCCACGATGCCCCCTTTGTGTGTGTGTGTGTGTGGCGGGGACAGACTAGTAGGAGTTGCCATTGGTTGAGTGCTTGAGTGTTTCCCAGGTGCTACAGCCAAACACCTTACAGACACTCCCTAATTTAATCATCACAGTAACTCTGAAAAGCTCCCCTTTCATAGATGAGAAAACCGGGACTCAGAGGTGTCAAGGAAACTGGCTAAGAACACAGAGTCAGTGGTAGAGTCAAGATTTCAACCCGGTTGTGTCTGAAATAGAGACCAGAGCTCATAGTCTCAGGGCCATACTGGCCATTGTCCAACTGGCCAAACCAAGGTGCATTAGCTGTAATTTTCCCCAAGGTAACAGCACCATGCCTGAACTGCTTAAACCCGGGCCACTGCATCAAGTGTTTATGTGATGAAAGCTACTGAGATGGCATTCCCAGACCTGCGCGTGCAATGGACGTTTTGAGCCTAAAGTCAAGAGTTCATATTTATGTCTGTTACAATTTATTTACTCCTCTCCTTGTATCCCTTAAGAAATTTAGTAATTCAACAAACAACTGAATGTCTACTGTGTTTCACAGGAACCTGAGATTAAAGAAATAACCCTCGAGGAGAAGACGGGCCAGAGGGCAGGGGAGCCAAGTGCAGGCTTGGGGCACAGCTGTGGTTAGTGTTAGCATCCACTGACCAAGGGAGCGTGCAGGAAGGGCTTCTTGCAAGACCGCAGGTATCAGAAGGAGTGATTCTAAAAAGAAACTTTTTTTTTCTGAATATAGGAGTACAAAAATATAAAAAATTTATGAAACTGGAGTGAAGAAAATAAAAAACAGCATGACTCTACTTCCCAGATGCAGTCTGGGAACTATAAGGCTAGATATAAGGCTATGATGTTGTAAATTTCTTTCCAGTCTTATTTTGCTTTGTTTTCTATTCTCTGCGTATGTTTATTATACACATGCATGCATGCACACACATGTAACATCGGGATCACAATCAACAGTTTGTCTCTTGATTTTTAGAGCTCAGGCCTTCCTCACTACATGATTATATATTAATATGTTATATTTGTATTTGTAATTAAGGTATACGTTATGTTATGCTGCATATATGTAACGTAGCAATATTAATACATATTAATACTATAGTATTAATACATATTAATACTATACCAAAAAGTCAGTTGACCTGTCCAGAGTGAGCAATGTTGATTTGTAGTGGTCACTTGTTTAATGGACAACAAAACAGGGAAAAGAAAAAAAATTGGGAAGTGGGTTTACATAAAAAAGAGTGGAGGTGGGAGATTTCTGCAAAGAGGGAACATTTATTCACTCATTCATTCATTCAAAGATAGGAATAAAAGGGGTGAGGTAAATAAAAGCAGGAGAGTTTGCTTTATGATCATTAATTTATGTTGTTTATTTATGTTTTATAGCTTTTCTGTATGTGTGTTATTTTTCAGACATTTAGAAAGGTTTTCAAGACACACAGATTTTGAACGTGGAGGAGTAGAAGTGAGCATCATTTCTTACCTGCGGTTGGGCTGGTCTGGGATGGGCTGCCGGGCACCACCGTCATCCCGACAGGAGGCCCCCAAAGGCTCTTTGTGTCTGTGGCCTCCTCGGCCCCTGCAGCAGATGCTGGTGTGGAGACACGCGTTTCCCAGGGAGGCCCTCCGGGTGTTTTCTCATTGGTGCTCTGAGCCCAGGGAATGGGTAATGTGGAGGCCCGTGTCCGTCTGTTGGCTGTCACCCACAGAGTTCCGGCCACCCTCCTAGTAGCTGCATGTTCAAAGTGACAGTAACAGGACACTTAATCACTTTGATTCAGATATAAAATCGAAGGACATTAAAACGTTTATCAGAGGGAAAATAGCATGTACATAATATAGATAATCCAGGGGCTAAAACTTTGCCTTTCACTGGGATAAATGGACCCACTGGAACTTTGTCTAAGCACCAATTAAAAAAAAAAAGCTTCAAATCCCATGGGGACCCAATCAGCTGGGGTGTGTGTTTGGGGGATCAGTGGGCTTTCTGAAATGCATTAAGAAATACATTTCTAATCACGTGACATATACATGAAAGACTGAGGGCTTGAGGTGACGACACCTGGAGCTGTTAGTTCTGCTCCCGCCTCCTCCACGCTGTGGACTTTTGGCACTTAACTCTTTTCAGCTTTATCATTACAATGGGAATAATAATAACAAGAATGCTTGCCCTGCAACATCATAGAATTGTTATTAAAGACAAATTTTCCCTCATCGGTCTTCTAAAAAATTGTTAGATGTTCTCACCAGTTCATAACCACACTAGAAATTGAAATCATTTTTTTCAAGTTTTATAAAACTAATTCCATTGGAGGATTTTACTTTTGTAAATTAAGATGGGAACAGTTACCATCATTAAAATTTCAAATTTCTCATCCACAGCATGGTATATCCCTTCATTTATTTAAATATTCCTTTATAGCTCTTATTAAAGTTTTGTGGTTTTTCTTAAATAAAACCAGCACTTTTTCTTTTAGGATTATTGCTAGGTATTCAATGATCTTTTTTTTTCTTTGTCCTTAGAAATCACATTTTTTTT